CCCCCCTTATTTAATATGTGATTCAAGAAAATTCTGAGACCATACAAATAGAACAGTATAAGAAACCCTTATGTACACATCACTCATCTCCAACAACCATCAACAACTCAATGTTGTTTCATAAATCGCCACCTTACCATGCCTTTTTTGCCTGAGTATTTTACAGCAAGCCCTAGACATCCTATCATTTCATCTTATATACTTCAGTATGTGTCTCTAAGAGATAAGCACAGCCCCCCAAATTAACAGTAATTCCTAATATCTTATTCTTGATTGTTTTTTTCCTAATTGTCTGGAAAATGCATTTTTATAATCAGTTTGTTAGAGCCAGATTCCAAACAAGTCTCACACTGTATCTGATCTCTTTACGTCTCTGTTAATCTTTAATAACTCTGCTTTTACCCTTCCTTGCCTTTTTTTTTTTTTTGGTTAAACTGAGTCTCCTATATGGTGGAATTTCCTCCATTCTGTATTTGGCAGGTTATAATGGCGATGTTTAACTTGTTTTCTTATCCTCCATATATATTTAGACCTGTAGCCTGGTTAGGTTGAGGTTCAATTCAGAGGTGGGGGGGGGGGGGGCAAGAATACTTCATAAAAAATAGCCTTTTTCCACCAAAGCAACTTTTACCCATTTTTCCTTAATGCACAAACATACTAAAAGGTCATTATATGAACTTTGTATATAGAGTTGGTTTATAGTAAGGCTAAATACCTTTATTTAGATTTCAGTTGTGTCATGTATCAGCTAACATATTTTGAGCACTTTCTGTGAAATCAGGCACTAAGCCTTATCTCTCTTAATCTCTACAAATGAAGGTAAGTGCTATGATCGTTGTTTTCCAAATAAGGAAACAGACCAGAGAGTTTAAATAATTAATTTGAGATTATTCCATGTAGTGCTTTACATACAATTAAATCTAATGTATGGATTTATGGTTTAATTAATTTTTCTTCTCCTTGTTTTGTGCTGTACCACAATTAGGATGCAAAAGTAAGTCATTTGGGCACAAAAAATTGTTTTCCTCTGTTAAAATCTAGTATGCCTTTTAATTACAAACTTGTTGCTACTAATATCTGAAATTTGACCTAGTTGGTCCAGTGCTGTACAAAACTGGACACTTTGGAAAATTTTTAATTTTTTTATAGTATGCTTGCTTTGGGTAGTCTTCCTTTGGCATTTACAGATGAGTATTGGTTGTTACATAGAACAAAAGGCACTTCTGTCTCAGGTGTCAGAGCGTTCTTTCTGTATGTTGCTTCCATTGAAGCCATTGGTTGCTCTGGGGAGGTCTGGAAGGTAAATTTCTGCAGAAAGGAATAAATACGTGTGACTCAAAAAAAGAGCAAGGAAAATAAAAATATGTGAAGAATGGGGAGAACTCAGGGGGTTTCCCTGGTCTTTATTTAGGGGAGGTTTTGAATTTTTACAGTAAGACAACTTACCTTTTCTGTAGAAAGTGCGAGTGGCTCAGTTGTGTCCGACTCTTTGTGACCCCATGGACTATACATATACAGTCCATGGAATTCTCCAGGCCAGAATACTGGAGTGGGTAGCCTTTCCCTTCTCCAGGGGATCTTCCCAACTCAGGGATCGAAGCCAGGTCTCCCACATTGCAGGCGGATTCTTTACCAACTGAGCTATCAGAGAAGCCTTTCTGTAGAAAGGTCGATATCAATAATTTCCTTAAATGCCAGTGGGTTTGACAGCTTTTTGTATTACAGCAATGGAGCACAGCACAATTGGTAGGTAATCAGTAGGTATTTAATGCATGCTGAAAAAATCTTCCTATGGTCTCTGGTGTTTGGGACACAAATTGCTAAATAAGCACTGGCTCTCCATGGAAGTGCCCAGACTGTTGAACTGCTTGTGTTCAGCTTCTCTGAAACTTGCACGCGCTTCCATGTCAATTTCACATTCTCAAACCTCCCCAGATCTGCTTACCAGAGTCTCACATTTTCCCTCCACAGGAAGCTGAAACCCCACGTAGTGTTCTTGAAGAAATTGGACTGACATAACTCTCCTCCCCTGTTGATGACTTCCTGTGGCATTTCACACACTGTAGATGGTCACTGCCTTCATGTCCATGTTAGCTAATGGTGTAAGATGATGTCTTGTCAGTATTACTATTCTGCTAAGCTGCTTCATTCAGGCCTACACAATTTCTTTTTTTAAGGGAACTTTGGTTAATCAAGTGATAACAAGGGACTTAAATATGAATTAGAATGAATGCAGGAAAAAAAGGTACTTTTTCTGGCTATTTTGAAGTTTATAGGTCTGTTTCTCTTGAATAGGTTATTATCATTACTTTTGATTATGTGTATCTATGAGTATGACACAATTAGGCAATATACATTTATTATTCTCTTTGGCAAAAAAATCATGTGAAAGAAACCTGGTTTTATGAAACCAAAGACTACTGCATTTCAGGATATATGCGAATAAAGGGATTGACATATCACATATCAAATGAATGAAAATTTCACTGTATGTTGAAACTTAAATTATACCAAAGACCCTTATTAGAAAGTAAACACCTTAAAACAAAGGGAATACACAAAAAACTAATGGGAATGATGCTGTTTTACACTAAAAATTATTTCATAGGCATCCCAAACCTGGGACAAGGAACAGATCAGCTGTTTCATAATAGTAAACATGCTATTTTTAAGGCCAAGCAACATTTGACTCCTGACATAAATTTTTTTGTGGTCATAATCATTTAGTCACTTAGTTGGATTGTTTTTGATGTCTCCCAAATAAAATGAAAATGTTGACTTACCAGGGATTCTTAATAACAGTATCTTATGGAAAATGTGTTGCTTTTTTCACAAAGTGTTGCATAAGTCATTGTTTAAAGCACGAATATTCCTTCTGGGGTGCTTGTTACAGCCAAGTTTATTTTACTCCCCTATTGCTTCCCTCCACTTAGAAGTACAGCAAACTTTAGGGCGGCTTCTTTCCCTTCCACGGCACTGCCTAGTTATTGGAAATCCTAAATATAAAAACAGACACCACCTCTCATGAAAGTGTGAGTTGAATGAAGTAAAATGGCATTAGTGGGCGCTATATTTTTTAAGGATATAGTTGTTTCAATGTCACTTTTATACATACTTCTACATATATAAACGTCTTCACAGTTTACACTTTTCATTTATATCTGCTGGGCTGGATTAAGCTTTGTTGTGATTGTGACCAATATTCAGGCCACGTGAGCACTGTCTTACCATATTGCCAATTAGTTGTAATAAATGTTCAACATACACAACTGTAGTGTGTTTTTATCTTTTTCCAAAAGTCTGTCAAACTATGAAGAGCTGCTAAAGGAAGAATTTTTTCAAAAAATTTTCGAGTAAGTTGTTGAAAATTCACCTCCGTTTGAATGTGGTGGTGGTTAAAAGCACACACAAGATAAATGGTGGAAGATTTAAGGAGTCTTCATGTACTTCAAGCCCATTAAAAAATAACGTGGAGTCCATGCTACTGAGAGCTTATCTACACACTTATTTTCAATCAATAAATGCCGCTTTTAAAACCATGATGCAGTTGATTTTTCTCTGAATGAGCAATTCAAATCACCCCAGGTAATCAAAGGTGTCCTAACCCAACTGGAGTCCACCTACAAACTGGAGGTACTAGCACACTTGCTGAGATGGATGGGTATAAGCAAATTACTGCATAGTATAAGTACCAAAGCAAACCTTTGATTATCTTGATAGTTAAGGGGCTGCCTATTCACTACAGATAGGAAATGTTACATAAAAATAATGTGGAGTTTTTTTTAAAGTATACTCTGATTTCTGGAATAAAATATCTTTATAGGAAAATAGTCAAAAGGATATTTAAGAAGGAAGAAACGACTGCCATATCAAACAAGTTGCTAGTCTGTTAAAAATAAAAGATGTGTGCAATTAAAAAATATATGTGTAGATTTAAAGAGCCTCTAACAATGCAGGTATCTCTTCACCGAAAACAGGCCTATGGCAATGTAGAGTTGGCAATTTTTGAATCATAAATAGTAATCAAATTACAAGTTAAAAAAAATACAAGTTTAAGTTCAAATGAATACACAAAATACTGATGGATATTTAAGAGTAATGACCCAGTCAGTGGTTTAAAAACTACTTCCTTGCATCCTTCTAACACTTGAGGGGAAAAGTAAGTTACCTTGAGAACAAGTTGATGTTCATCTTGTTTTTTCCTCCTTGATCTATTAAAATGAATGTTCAGCTTTGAATGCCACATCTTGTTATCTCTTCTGTATTTAGAAAAGGATTGAAAAATTTTGAATTTATTGAGAACTGTTCAGTATTAGTGAAGCCAGTAGATACTTACAGAAGTTTTTCAATCATTTATTAGGGTACAGGCATTTATATTCTGGAACAAATCAATTTTTCTTTTTTTCTTGGTTGTGCTGCACAATTTGTGCGATTTTAAGTTTCCCAACCAGGGAATCAAACCCTTGGCTGTGAGAGCTAGGGGTCCTAACCACTGGACCACCAGGGAATCCCCTACTGTTTTTTCCAACAAGTTTCTCTGAGCACTTTTTTTTTTTTTAACCAGAATTGCTTTAGCATCTGGCATACTTAGCAATGAACTCTGTAACACAATACAAAAAAAGATGAACAGCCTAATGGAAAACTACGGGGGAGAAGGGGAGAAGGGACAGGAAACAACTGTTTAGTACTTTAAAGCTGTTCAGCTATTAACATAAAAAAATCCAACAATAAGGGGCAAACAACCAAACTGAATGCCCATTAAAGACAGTGTTTGGCTTAGCTTAGCTTATATGTACAGAGATAAGTAAACCAAAAATTTTCCAAACTGGCAAAGATTAAAGTAATCTGGCATAGGAACAGCAAAATTTATTGTTGACAGTGTAAAATTTTTTGTAGTCTTTATGGACGGCAATTAGGAAATACTTTCTCTTGATATAATTTATACTAAGGTAATGATCAGAAATGGATGAAAGTATTTAAGAAAATCCACCACAGGACTGTTTATGGCATGGGATTCTTTAATAGTGCAAAATTTAAAATAACTTAAAAATCCAACAATAGGGATATAGCTTAATAAACTGATAGAGCCACACTATGCAGTGAGTAAAACTAACAGACTAGGGCTTGATGAAATAGGACAATGTCTGGTGTGAAAAAAACATTTCAACTACAGCCATGATTTTTTTGTAAAAAAAAGGTGTACACACATATACTCAGAAAAAAAGACTTAAAGTAACGCTGCAGTGTTAATTGGTTATCTTTAAGGGTCAGGATTATAAGTAATTTTGGGGCTGTATACATTTTATGTTTTCTAGGTTCTCTATACTAAACACACTATGATTATCAGAGAATAAAAATATTTTAAAACAGGGTTCCAGTCTACATATGGTTTCACCAGACTTGCTAAGCCACATGAGCCGAGAGCCCTCCATCCAAGTATGTAGCCACCATAATAAATAAAGTGTACAATCACTGAAAAACACAGTAAGTTTATTTGGATTTGGGGCTCTGAAGAGTTCGGTCTCTGCTCCCTGACCTTCTCCCGCCACGGCTCCTGGACCTGGAGGAGCTCTGGCTGCGGCTCCTGCGGCTGTGGCTCCGGCTGCCCCGTCCATGGCTGCGGTCCCTTTTTCTTCCTCTGCTTCGGGAATTGTGCCTTCCCCGGCTTCTGGACCTGTGTTTGTGAGATTTCTTGGCCCCATGACTACTCCTCCTCTTCCAGTCGGCCTCCCCGTTCCTCTTGTAGGAGTGGGCCGGCCCAGGGCTCCTCCTCCTCCTCGGCCTGCTGTAGTAGTCATCGTGGGGGCCCAGCCTCGCCCTCCTCTCTGAGCTCTTCCCAAAGGAGGAGCCAGTCCGATCTGGAGATAGGTAGATGTCTCGATTCGCTTCCCAAAACTCATTGTTGGGATTTCTGAACACATGAAGGAAGTTGCAGTGTTTCCCTCTGGGACACTGCTGTATTTCAAATAAACCTGCAATGGCACAGTGAGGAAACGGCATTTACTGCTGGCACTACATCCTTTTCACAAGGTACATTTCTGATGTTCGCTTGTGATAGGACTAGTTTCTCCTTACATACTCTGACCTCACAGTTTGGGTTCCCTGAATTTCAAAAATATTCAATGCTCTAACAAAAGGCACTGTAAAAAGTAATAGATCAGAACTTTTAATTAACCAGAATGTCCCATTCCCCTACTGGGTTATGGTGTAGAGTGCAACCCAACCAATGGCAACCAGATTATTTATTATTTTTTCTATTGTTTTACCATCCTGTTGACTGACAATGTAGATCCCTAACTAACACTGAAGAACCAGCCCTGGTCGGCAGTCCTGGTGGCAGCATGCTTCGAAGGCACGGTGGTGGGAGGACAGAACCACTGGCTAAAATTAAAGAGCATGTTGTAAGTAGAGGATCCTATATTTTCTTACATTTCAAGAAGATGATAAACACTGGCCTAATGCTTTAAGTTTATCAGGTGCTTTTAATACAAAAGATTTTTGTCAACAGTGAAATCTACTTGCACAGTTTAGAGATCCCTTGAAGATTTTCAAACTTTTTTGAAAAAGCGGTAAATTAAATATGTAAAAGAGTTAAACATGAGATACCTGTATACCACACACTATATACAAAAAGTCAGTCAAAATGGGTCAGAGTCCTAAACATAAGCTATGGAACTATACATTCTTGGAAGAAAACATACAAGTAAATCTTCATAGCATGGGCTGACATGGATTCTTAGATAACGATACCAAAGCACAAGCAAAAAAAAAAGAAAAAATAGATGAATTGGGCGTCATCAAAATTAAAAACTTTTGTGCTTCAAAGGACACCATCAAAGTGAAAAGACAATCTATATAATGGGAGAAAATATTTGCAAATCATATCTCCAATAAGGGACCTGTCTGTAGAATATATCAAAGAACTCTTACAACTCAATAACAAAAAGACAAAAGAAAAATGGGCAAAGTATCTGAAGAGACATCTCTCCAAAGATGATATACAGTGGCCAATAATCCAATAAAAAAGACACAAAAAATGCTCAGTAGTTACTAGTCACACTCAGAAGCACCTCACTGAAATCACAATGGATTCCTGGCAACTGACAAAAGTAACTGCCTTCATGGAGAAAACAGAGCCATCTCTTTCAGTCCCAAAGTCTTTAAGGCATAATGGTTCTTCTGGCTTACCAAAGCAAGGAATTCTAAATTCCTTCCCTCTACCGCCCCGCCACTTCACATGATTTTTAAGTGACAGCAACCATTAAGACCAGGTTGCCAAAGATTCAGATTTTATAAATTACAGATTTTGAAATAGGAGGTTTTAAGCAAGTATAAAGCGAAGTGAAGCAAAGGGTAAGGGAAGTGGCCCCTGAAGGCACCGGCAGCTCTTCTCATAGCTTCCGAGGCACTTCAACAATAAATGGTTTGGCTAAGCCTATTTGATAGAAATCACAACAGAATGACCCCTTCAAAATTGCCAGCTACTCAAAGACTAATTCATTTCCTGATGCGGCAGCCACTATCTGATAAATCAATCTGACGGAATGTGCCCTGACGAGGTTCCAAAGCTATAATCAATCTCTAAGGCACAAAAGCTTGTATTTCAATAACACAGGAAGTGTTACAGGTAATGTTTTAGGTTCATTAGGGATAAAGATGGGGAAAAAAACAGCTCAAGTGAGGAGCCAATAAATAGAAAACAGACACAACTTCTCAGGCTTCCTGCAGAGCCTAGGACTTTGAGCACTGACCTTGTCAACTATACATTGTGCCCCTAGTCACTGCATCCATAAAGTGACCCACAAGGTCGGTTACAGGTCTAAAACGTGATGTACTTTATATAGTGATCTCTGTTCATCTACCAGGTGAGGCAAAAGCTAATCTCCACTCCTTTAAAAGGTTGCTTTCCCCCCAAGAATATCACTTTATATGACAGTGGGACCGTTGGGGGGAGGGGGGAATCATGTTGTATTTACCACAAATAGCCATTTTCCATCGGGTCACTGGGCAGAATTCACACTGAAGCTGTCGTCCTGCGTACCACCGTCCATTAAACAGAGAAAGGGCTGCTTGGCATTCTTCTTCCCTTTAAACCACAAATTAAAGGATGTACTTTAGAGTAACTTTCTAAAGTAGAAATGTAGATTAATCCCATTGTTAACTAACTCTGTATTTGTTTACCAGAGGGCCACCAAGCTCACTGCTTCCGTGCTACCTAGGGAGTCCTCATTACAGCATTCAAGCTCCTGAAGCTCACAATTTATTCAGGAAACTTTTTTTTTAACTAACCTCTCAGAGATCCTGATGCATGGAAATCAGCTTGAGTCAAAGCTTCTTAAACCAAAAGACTGGACCATTAAAAATGCAGAAGTGTTTTCCACTGTCAGCGCCCGTTCTTTCTCAGTTCAGATCGCTATCCTTCCTATTACAATGGTTAATTTACCCCATTAGCCATGGCGCCATGCAGGAAACAGCATGACGAGCAGAAATGACACGCTAACTGCTCTCTTAGCAGACAAAATGCACACTGAAGTTATCTGGGGCTTTAATTTCTCACTCTTTCAATTTATACTTTTCTGTTCTCTATTCTGGTTATCCCTTTCCAGTTTGTGTTTTAATTATTAAAATTATATAAGTAAAAAATTCACTATATTGCAAAATATTAAAAACTCTAAGTATACAAAGAATGAAATACAAATATATAATTTTCTAATCCTTTCTATATTTCTAGATCAGCTCCTAATATTTACACTTTTAAAAATACCATGCAGGGACTTCCCTGGTCCAGTGGTTTAAAGACTGAGCTTCCAATACGTGGGGCATGAGCTCGATCCCTGGTTAGGGAACTAAGATCCTGCATGCCCCACCCTGTGCGGCCAAAAAAAAAACCAAAACCATGCATATGAAAGCTATATAGTCAGGGGAAAAAATCCCACATGTCAATGTAAGTCACAACACTGTGACAAAATGTGAAGATGTTTATGTTCAGAATACTTACGACTGATACTGAACATACACATTGCCCCTCAGATGAGGTTCCAAGTTGCAGCTGACCTAAGGAGCAATGAAGAACTGATTTACCAAAAAAAAAAAAGTCAAAAACCTAAGGAAAAGAAGCCCTCCAGTCATCATACGTACTTCTGTCCAGGCCAACATTACCATAAGGTGTTATCAATCAAAAATTTCAAAATTAAGATACTACCCCATGCTCACATCTATTTAAGGCATACTTCAGCACATGGCAGTGTTGCAGGGAATTACCTGATCCTTTTTTTGTTCAAAGATATGAAATGTCTCACACACACATAAAAATAGACTATTAAAAAAAAGAAAGAAAAAAAATACAGAGACTAGTAATCAGCCCTTATATACATCACCCAGATTTAATACTAACATTTTCCATTTTTGACTGAGCATATTTAAATACGTAAAACATGAAAAGACCCAGTTGATGCCCTTCCATCCTATTCTCTTTCCTCCATCATATACGTCAGCACTCCCCTGAGGTTGGGCAAATCCTTTGCATTCCAAATACACACAGACACAGGCACCCCTATCTACACAGACCCAATACCCACAGCACACATATACATGTGCACGCATGCTAAGTCGCTTCAGTCTGCCCGACTCTGTGACCCTATGGACTGTAGGCCACCAGGCTCCCCTGTCCATGGATTCTCTAGGCAAGAATACTGGTGTGGGTTGCCATGCCCTCCTTCAGGGGATCTTCTTGACCCAGGGATTGAATCCACATCTCTTATGTCTCCTGCATTGACAGGCAGGTTCTTTGCCATTAGCACCACCTGGGAAGCCCATACATATAGACAGACAGGCATATACACATATATGTGTGCCATAAAATATATATATATATATATATATGTATTATGCATGGACATAACATACAGGCGGAGCCTGTGCCCTCACCTTCCCATCCCACCTAGTACTTCAGAGGGAGGCAAACCAGTCCCTCCTTCACTGCCTATGCCCACCTTAAACTGGATCACTTTCCCCACGTTCCTGAACTCAGGGAGCACGTCGTCATAAAAGTCCAAGAACTGCTGGTAGGTTTCCTCTTCGCTGTACTCCAGGCTTGCATCGGGGTCGTAGTCGTCCCTTCTGCACTGCTCCATCCCAAACGTTGTAAACATGCTTTTAATAAGAAGGGTGGGACTCGATGTCGGGAAATTGTGTTTACGTGAACACCTGCATATGAAGGAAAAACTTCAGCAGTCCAATGGTGAGAAATTACACATAAGATACCTGCATTAAACTGTGAGATAAAGACTTGAGCAACTTAGCTGTTTTGACTGAACTGTAAGATGACAAACCTCATTCAGACTTTAAATATCAACACTTAACAAAACTGTTCTACAGCTGACCGATATACTGGATCTCATTAAAATGTACAGTTGGGAATTATTTCCAAGTTCAGGAGTCATTTTAGCTGCCTCTTATTGAAATTCAGAAAGCCTTACACACATGGAAGCACATGGAAAGAGAAGCTGCGTGGGCATGACAGACAGTGATGACAGGCACAGAGACACTGTGCGTGGGACTCAGGACAACGTGAGAACAGTGCAATCCTGATTCCATACAGTCACCAACAAACCCAACACGTAGAGAACAGAGTATTTGGAGAGTTTTAGCTAAATGGAATGCACTTCGTAGTTTTCATGGCATTTTTATATTCTTTCCTCTGATCCTTGCAACCTATTATGACAGCCAGGGCTAGTATTTTCTCCACTTTGAAAGAAAGAAAGTGAGGCCTAGAAAAGCACACAAGTTACATGACTGGGGAGAGAAGATCCCAGAGATCTGAGCTAATCCACAGTCCACTGCTTATGTGTTATATGATGTGGTAAATGTTAAGGAATTTCTCTTTAATGAAGGAGGTTGACCATTGTGAAGAACAATTTTCTTTTCACAGTTAAACTAGACCGGGTTGTAACTGAGTAATTTTTTACAAAAAAATCTTTCATATGAGTTTACTTTCTTATTTCTTTCTTTCTCCTCAAATAAAATGAAGAGGGAAAAAATACAGTTTAAGATTCCAAATCATCAAATTTTCCTGATTAAATTTCCAGCTTAAAAATTACAACAAAATTTTTAGAAAAAAAATCCCAAGAACTCTTTAAGAAAAAAAAAGTTTAAGAACAAAGCAAGTGTTAGAAAAAAAACAATGGCCCTGAAATAAATGTTTAACTCATGTTTACTTTCCACTGTCTGTAACATACATCTGTACACCTGGCTGAGACAATGCACAGAGAATGCCTTGCACATACCATGCCCAACTCAGAAATGTGCAATCAGTGCTCGTTAGTGTGAAATTTTCTAGTTTCCAAAGGAATCTCCTAGATTATTCAGCCAAAGACCTAGTAATGAGATCCATCTTCCCAAGGACAACTGCCCACAGAAAAAAGAACAAGGATTCAACCTGGTTGGCAGTGTTAGTAGAACCAGAATTTTACAAGTATGAAGCACATACAGAATTAAATGAAAAACCAATTTAACAAGGTTAAAATTCTCATGGGATTCTTATATCTGAATGAACTGGGCTCTAGTACCCAGGATGTCAAATGAACATTTGTGAGTTTTGGAACAGTGCCAAACTCCCCATCTAGGGAAAAATCCCACTTGGCCTGGAGACAGTCCACATAGTCTGGGTGTATTTAAGGCCAGCCCTACTATATTGAAAATTCAGCTAAGACAAGGGATACTTGGGAAGGCAGTCTAAAGCTGTTGTACCCAAACCCATGTGATTCTTAGAATCACCTGGGAAGAGCTGAGATTTCTTAGGTCCTGTCCTAGATCAATCTGTTCAGACCTCAAAGAGTGAGAAACCCATGTTTTCAAAGTAACTCTACACCTGGTCCTTAAGGTCAGTCATGTCTGGGGACTCCCGGTTTAGGCCATGCTATTTACCCATTACTCAGATCCTTGAATCAAGTAAGACTGCCACAAAATCAGGTAGTTGGACATTACCTAAACTGGAAGGTCAACCAATAAATGGCATGGGTCTCCAAATGCCCCCTCAGGTAGAACTGACTATGCCTCGTTTTCTCTTCTTAGGGGAGAACTCCAGGCACTCACTACCCTTGTTCTTTATAGAATGAAGTTACACGCTAAAGTAAGGCTGTGATTATATACTGAAGGTCTTTGTGAGAAATATTCTCATGAAAATTACATATGCAACTGTTAATAAAATATCCATGAAAGTTACTGTCCACCTTCCTACTCAGTATCTTTATACAGTATTCTATGGGAAAACATTTAGACTCTGATGCCTAGAAAATTTGTCATTCCAGAGATCCCACTCATTTCCTTTTTGGTAAGAACTACAAAGCTCATTGCTGCGTGGGATGGATACGACTCCAAAGTCAAATGTACTGTATAGTCACAGTAATGCACTTCTCCTTTCCTTGCTTTCTATTTATTTTATTAAACAGTGTAGTAGACTATGAGCCTTCTTTAAATCACTTCTGGAAACAAGTGAGGTATAAATAACTACTCTGGTCAATGAATTTTACTTTTCATCAGTGATTATGTTCTTTAAGGACCAAAAAAAACCTGAGCTCCCCTCCAAGCTGTGACTCTAAGAAAAATCAACTCCAGAAAGGTTCTAGAATTGAATTCTGTACTAATTACAGAAACAAAATGACCAAAGAGATGCTTAGGTTATGCAAGTGTGTGCTGATGTGATAGACCTTAACAGAGAAGGACAGTTGTATGATCTTGAGCAAGTCACTGGGGCTCTCTGTGAAAGGTGAGCAGCAGCTTTGTTTGAAGGGATGGTACTCGATTTTGTAACTGCTAGTTTCACGGAATCTTATTTCACAACTCATCACCTGAGTGATAAAAAAATCCAAATCAATCTCAAACATTTTTTTGATAGTTGTGATGGTGAAATGTCACATGCCTATGAATATATTAAGAAATCTTCACAAACTAATCTGACTACTGTCAATATTTCCTTGAAATGGCTCTCAGACCTGAGTTTTGAGAGCCTGACAGTCCATTCTCCTTTTCACAAGTAAGTCCTGTCAACCAATTTCCTGAAGCCATTTAGGACATCTTCCCTTCTCTCACTTATGCCCAACAGAAGAAGAATCCAGAATCCGATGACTGCAAACCTTCACATTTAAGGAAATGTTAGAGGTATATCATAAATGAGGAATTCTGCAGCTTGGAAACTTTACACACAATTTGGTTCAATAACCCGCCCCCCCACTCCCGTTGCCAATGCAAATATGAACTCATATTGAGTCTCAGTTGTCTTTCAAAGGTAATTCACTGTACATTTTTTTCTTTGGTGGGGTATGTTTTACATCAATCATTACTATTTTGATGAAATTAAACATATAAGGATACGAAGGGGGATAAAGTCTTTCTCTCTTCCTTTTCCTCAAGAGGAGGAGGAAAAGGAGCCCAGTTCCTCAAGAGGAGGCTTTCACTATTGACCAGATTCTGTGAATACTTTCACAGATATTCCGGGCATATAGCATCCCAACTATAAAACATAAAAGAAGTCACAAATCCTACATCAGTGACTCTCAATTCTGGGGCACATTACAAATACTTGAGCACATTTCAAAAATTAGGGTGCCCAAGTCTCAAAAACTCTGATTTACTCAATTTGAGATAAGACGTAATTTTTTTCAAGCTTTCTAGATGATTCTAGATGGAATCCAGGGTTGAGAACCACTGTCCTTAAAAAATGTAAAATGATGTGACGGCTTAAATTTAAAAAGAAAGAGAAAGCTAGAGAAGGTTCATATTTTCAAAGAAGGAAATAAAGCTCACAGCATGTATAATTTTATGAATAAAATAAACATGAGAGACAACATACAGTTTCTCATTAAATACATATGAATTTGCCAATTCATATCCCTTTTTATGATGAATAAGACACTAAGATATAATTAGATCTTTTCTTCTGCAGAATGAAAATTAATAATTAGATTTTGCCTCAGATGGATTTATTCAGCATTATGAATTATTTATCCACTTTAAGTTCATTCATAAACAAGCCAAATTATAAAAATCACCACTGCCTGCCATACAGTTGATATTTAAATATTTGCTAAATGAATCAAAACATCAACACTTAGTTTTCTACGTGAATGTCCTGTTTTAAAATCATTGATCCAAAAGAGGCAGGGAACCAGAGGGTCTCAGAGAATAATGGCAACAGTAACAAAAAGAAATTAACAGCAAACACTCAGCGCTTGCCATGGGCCTGCCATATTCGACCTGCTTTCCCTGAATTCACTGATTTCAGCCTCACAACTGCCTTGGGGTGGGGGGTACTACTTTTAATCTCCATTTTACAGATGAGGAATCTAAGGCACAAAGGGCTTAAGTAACTTTCTCACCATTATAGCCACTAAAGCCAGATGCTGAACTCTGCGTCTGTTCCTCAATCAGAGCAAACTGAGAATGTGCACTAGAATTTTTCTCTACTCACTCAGATCCTGTCTTTCACAGACATCCCTTTGGGCATGCCAGTTTTTAAAGCTTTATTCATGCACAGTGTTTGCCATTCAAAAAATAAAGTCAGGCTGCTCCAGTCTTTTGAAATAGATTTCCTCATCCCAGTTCACCCATGTGGACCAATATAAGCGCAGGAAGAAAACAAAAGTGAAAGGTCCTCAGACAGCTATGGGAGGAATGAAAAGGAAGCCCTGCCAGAGAACTGGACCAACCCATCCAGGGGCGGGCGGGGAGGGGGGTGTCGGGGAGCAGGGGACACTCAGCTTGGGGAACTAGAGCAGCAGCAAGAACATAGCAGAGGCCTGACTGAACGTGAACATTTCAAACTCCAGCCCGTGCCGCTCCCCAAAAGGGAACTTGGAAACCTTGATGTTTTGAGTCACTTAACTCTGACACAATAAAACAAAATTGGTTACCTATCTCCAAATCTGCACGCTCCCGTTTTACTGTAGAATGGACAATTAGCTCGATCTTTCTCCATTACTCTTAATTCCGTGGGTGGTTCTGGGTTTTGCCATGTGGCACCATTTTCCAACTGTTGAAAATAACCGTGACTTTATTTGATGTAAAAATCCACAAAGAATTAAATGTTTAAAAGGTATTCAAATATTTTGGTCAAAAATAAAAACAGATTCCTGTAAAAATATACACATTTAAGTTGTGCCACACAACCGAGACTCTACAAACAACTGTCATGAGATAGGGGCTATGTGTCTCTCCTGGTTCCTGGGCACTGTCCAGCATCAGGCATTGCCACGGCTACCAGGAGCAGTCACCAAGGTTTCCCTTCTGTCCATCGATTCTGAAAAGAGTCGAAGGACTTGTTAGGGAACTATCCCTTGATTTACTCTGAATCAAGTTAAAACATCCATCTGGGTATAAAAATGTGTGAGGCTGATTATACATTATTTAAGGATTATAAACAGGTCCAGTCCACAGGGGTGATTTTTGCTTTTATTCATCAATTCACTTTTTTGTTGCTATTGTAGAAATCACAGAGCCTCAGATGTGAATCCCACATTCAGACAGTATCTAAGTAACTTACCACAAAATTAACATTACTGGAAATAGTGTTTTTAAAGAAATGTTCATTGGCCTTAAATTGTTAATGAAAGGTTTTGAAAATACCTCATTTTCAGCCTGCTCCAGCATCTTCTGCACAGCTTCCTACAAATGGTGCAAACATAGGACTAATGAAAACCTTCGAAGTCAGGTAAGTCATATCTGGTTTATCTGGTTAAGAATCTCATTTATAACAATTTTAAAAAACCCATCACACAAAAGGCTTCATGTTGTAATTTGCTTTCTATAGCAAAGATCTTCTGAAAAGCTTTCAAAAGACATACAGCTGAGAATCTTCATTCAACTAGGACATTAAACAGCTAACATTTGAAAACATAGTCTTCTAATAGTTTCAGTAAGAGTAATATTTGGCAGATTTGAACATACATTCCACATTCTAGTTTTTAAGGTGAGGTACTAGTGAATATCATAAAAGACAATGGTAGCTGAAACATCACAAACACTTAACAGATGCTACATTATGATATGAACAGTAGGAACTGGGACTGATGAAAAATCTCAAACTTTCTGATAAGACAGTAACACAGTTCTGCACTATGCCAGTAAAATTTTACCTTCTTGGCATTTAAATAAGCTTTAAATTATGTTTGACAGACTTTTCCCTAGTTCCTTAAAGTAATACATAGAAGACTCATATGTCTAGCTGCTTACTTGATTAACTATCTGGCCATGTAAGGGTCCTTAGTAACTTAATGTGCTCAAAATGGAACTCTACTCTTCCCTCCCCCTCACCCATCTAAATGCCTCACCTCAGAAAACAGCTGCATGTGCCTACATGCTCAAATTAAAAATGTATGGCTTGAATTCTCTTCTCCTCCTTTCCCCTTCCTGCCCATTCAGCCTACCAGCTAGAGTTCTGCTAACTGCCATGACTCATTACAAATCTGTGTACTTCTCTGTATTAAGCATCAACTGTCATCCAAACTACCATCATGTCCTGTTTGGAGCAGCAGCCTTCTAACTGGTCACCACAGTTCTACTCTTGCCTCCTTGGTCATCACTCCCAACCGCCACCCGCTATTCTTTATACAAAAGTTAGAATGATCTGTTAAAGGTAAAGATATAAATTAAATGAAGTCAGTCCCTGCTTCAAAACTCTTTAATGGCTTCCTATGACACTTCAGGTAAAATCCAAACTCCTTCCCACCCAGGCCTTACATGAATGACCCTGCTACCCTCCTGAACTTGGGCCCACCCCTGTCGCTCTCCTTTTTGGTCTCCAGGATTTAGGCACCCTGACCTCCTTTCAGCTCCAGGCTCAGACCTCCCTGCCTCTGCCTGAAACCCTTCTCCCCAAGATCTCTACACTCAGCCGTCAGTTCACACATCGGCACCTCCTCAGAGCAGTCTTCCTTGACAGGCAATCAATCAAAAGACGTAGTTTCCTACCACAATCAGTCTGTCATGTGACCTTCTTTCTTTCTTTATACCACATGCTGCTGCTGCTGCTGCTGCTGCTAAGTCACTTCAGTCGTGTCCGACTCTGTGCAACCCCATAGACGGCAGCCCACCAGGCTCCCCCGTCCCTGGGATTCTCCAGGCAAGAACACTGGAGTGGGTTGCCATTTCCTTCTCCAATGCATGAAAGTGAAAAATGAAAGTGAAGTCGCTCAGTCGTGTCCGACTCTTAGCGACCCCATGGACTGCAGCCCACCAGGCTCCTCCGTCCATGGGATTTTCCAGGCAAGAGTACTGGAGTGGGGTGCCATTGCCTTCTCCATTATACCACATACTATTACCTTAAAGCACCTAAAATGATCTTTTTGGTTATTTATCATTCAGTTTCTCCTTCAAGAAACTGAACACAATGAATACAGATCTTTGTAGCTGCCCTATCTCCAATACCAGAGAAGCATCTATCTAGCTCACAGCAGAAACTCAGAATGCAGATCCCTTTATATATGCTTAGAATTGACTTCATTTTACCTGCTTCTCCTTATGTCTCACCAGACTTCCTTTGAAACAAAAACTTAAGCTTTTATCTGGTGCCAGAAAGACCTCAATTGAAAACCATTCCACTGTTAAAATAGAAATTTATCACTCTTGCTCTAAAAAAAAAAAAAATGACAAGCTAAAAACAATTTTCCTGCCCCGTAAAAACCTAGCATGATCCTGCCTCATCTGGAAAGCAGTACTCAAGTAAGGGTGTTTAAAATTTACACTGGAATTAACCGATGGCCTGAGACACAAGAAACAAAGGTTGCTTCTACCCCATTATGACTAAGATGTAAACAAATGCATTTTTCCCATGAGCAGGTGATTACCCAATTTTATGCTATTCAAATATAGCAATATCACAGAAAAGATACATCCTGATGAATCAGTGAAGGAAAGATGAGCTGTGATATCTTTGAAATAAATGCACTGTTAAGGAATAGCAGCAAAATAGACCAAAGCAATCTTTAAAAACAATCCTAGAAGATAGAGATGTATACAAATACCTTAAGATTCTTTCTTTGTGTGAGCAACTATGTTACTTACAACTGCCTTTAGAGCACAAGTTAGAAAAGAAGTCAAAACTTAATAACAAAAAATATTTCCTAATCTCTCAATACTTGAGCTTCTGATTTCTTTCAATCTATTAGTTCTTGCTGACATGTCCAAAGTAGTAAACTCTCTTATGAATCAAACAAAGGTGGAAACTATAAAAAATAGTATTCACTAAGTAAGTCAACCCATATACAACAAAACCTCAGAAAAACACTGTCTGCTGTGGAGTGGTACAAAGTGTAAAGCAGGGGTCAGCTGCCTGTTTTTATCAATAAAACAATAAGGTTTTATTGGAATTTGGCCACAACCCTTTATTTGCATGTTACCTATGGGTGCTTTTATGGGACACTGGCACTGTTGGATGTTTTCAACAGAGACCATACAGACCATAAAGCCTGAAATATTTACTCTGGCCCCTTACAGAAAAAGCTGGCCAATCCCTGGTATATAGGTATATAAGATAGGTAGAGTTGGTGGAAAAAACCTTAATTTAAGGCATCTGCCACAGCAAACACCCAGAGAAAAGCATCATTAAGAAAATGTTAGTGTATATCCAAACTAAAAACATGACTCTTTCTAAAGAAAAACACCAAGCTCAAACCCTGATATGCCTATAGCTTATTGTTCCACCCCATCATTCGCCCCATCCACCCACTAAGAGGATACGCAGTGCGTTTATCCTCCTGTGACAGGAATCACCTCTCTTTCTTTCTTCTCCTGTAGCTTCTGCTGCTCCTCTTCTCTCTCTTTTCTCTGCTGTTCTTCCCATTCTTCCTTTAACTTTCTCTTTACAGAGGGAAAAAAATAAAAAGAAGAAAGGAAACTTTTTTCAGACTCACATTTTTACAACATTTGGCGTATGGGGCAAATCAATGGAAAATGTTAACATTGGTAATATGAATAACATCCCTCCCCGTTTTTTATTGGTTGCACCAGGTCTCAGTTGCAGCACGCAGGATCTAGTTCCCTGACCAAGGACCAAACCCAGGCCCCCTGCATAGGGAGCACAGAGTCTTAGCCACTGGACCACCAGGGAAGCCCTAACATCTGGTTTTTAAAGTTCAAGGTATGTAACTCTTACTGAGAGTCATTTTGGTTAACTAGTTAGTTAACTGGTTATCTGATTAGTACCGTACCTCTTGTTCTTCCTGCCGTTTTCTAGCTGCCTCTTCCTTTTCCTTCTTTATTCTGAATTCTTCTTGTGCCTTCTGCTCCCGCAGCAACCATTCCTCATGTAATTTTTGCCTATTGATGTAATGATGTGATCAAATAAAAGGAATGGGTGCTAAACCAAATACATCCAAACATATATGACAATAAAATGACATTTTGTGAATGATGAAAGTATCATGAAAGATATTTTCTAGAAAGCAGTTAAGTGGAGGTAAGAGGACCAGGATATACGAGTAGTGATCTTAGAAAAGCACTGCATTTTAGCAACTATCCTCCTAGAGGGAAACAGTATAAAATCACTACTTCTACATTTCCTAACTGTAACATCTTTACACAAAACAATGACACTCTAGCTTTCTCTTTAGGTTGGCCACAGTGATGTTTCAGTTCAGTTCAGTTCATTCGCTCAGTCGTGTCCGACTCTTTGAGACCCCATGAACCGCAACATGCCAGGCCTCCCTGTCCATCACCAACTCCCAGAGTTTACCCAAACTCATGTCCATTGAGTCAGTGATGCCAGCCAACCATCTCATCCTCTGTCATCCCCTTCTCCTCCTGCCTTCAATCTTTCCCATCATCAGGGTCTTTCAAATGAGAAGCTCTTCACATCAGGTGGTCAAACTATTGGAGTTTCAGCTTCAACATCAGTCCTTTCAATGGACAACCAGAACTGATCTCCTTTAGGATGGACTGGTTGGATCTACTTGCAGTCCAAAGGACTCTCAAGAGTCTTCTCCAACACCACAGTTCAAAAGCATCAATTCTTCTGTGCTCAGTTTTCTTTATAGTCCAACTCACATCCATATGTGACCACTGGAAAAACCATAGCTTTGACTAGATGGACTTTTATTGGAAAGTAATGTCTCTGCTTTTTAATATGCTGTCTAGGTTGGTCATAACTTTCCTTCCAAAGAATAAGCGTCTTTTAGTTTCATGGCTACAATCACCATCTGCAGTGATGTGGGAATCCAAAAAAATAGTCAGCCACTGTTTCCCCATCTATTTGTCATGAAGTGATGGGACCGGATGCCATGATCTTAGTTTTCTGAATGTTGAGCTTTAAGCCAACTTTTTCACTCTCCTCTTTCAAGTTCATCAAGAGGCTCTTTAGTTCTTCTTCACTTTCTGCCATAAGGGTGGTGTCACCTGCGTATCTGAGGTTATTGATATTTCTCCCGGCAATCTTGATTCCAGCTTGTGCTTCTTCCAGCCCAGAGTTTCTCATGATGTACTCTGCATATAAGTTAAATAAGCAGGGTGACAATATACAGCCTTGACGTACTCCTTTTCCTATTTGGAACCAGTCTGTTGTTCCATGTTCAGTTCTAACTGTTGCTTCCTGATCTGCATACAGGTTTCTCAAGAGGCAGGTCAGATGGTCTAGTATTCCCATCTCCTTCAGAACTTCCCACAGTTTATTGTGATCCACAAAGTCAAAGGCTTTGGCATAGTCAATAAAGCAGAAATAGATGTTTTTCTGGAACCCTCTTGCTTTTTCGATGATCCGGCGGATGTTGGCAATTTGATCTCTGGTTCCTCTGCCTTATCTAATACCAGCTTCAACATCTGGAAGTTCACGGTTCACATATTGTTGAAGCCTGGCTTGGAGAATTTTGAGCATTACTTTGCTAGTGTGTGAGATGAGTGCAATTGTGTGGTAATTTGAGCATTCTTTGGCATTGCCTTTCTTAGGGATTGGAATGAAAACTGATCTCTTCCAGTCCTGTGGCCACTGCTGAGTTTTCCAAATTTGCTGACAAATTGAGTGCAGCACCTTCACAGCATCATCTTTTAGGATTTGAACTAGCTCAACTGGAATTCCATCACTTCCACTAGCTTTGTTTGTAGTGATGCTTTCTAAGGCCCACTTGACTTCACATTCCAGGATGTCTGGTTCTAGGTGAGTGATTACACCATTATGATTATCTGGGTCATGAAGATCTTTTTTGTATAGCTCTTCTGTGTATTCTTTCCACCTCTTCTTAATATCTTCTGCTTCTGTTAGGCCCTTACCATTTCTGTCCTTTATTGAGCCCATCTTTGTTTGAAATGTTCCCTTGGTATCTCTAATTTTCTTGAAGAGATCTCTAGTCTTTCCTCTTCTATTGTTTTCCTCTATCTCTTTGCATTGATTGCTGAGGAAGGCTTTCTTCTCTCTCCTTGCTATGCTTTGGAACTCTGCATTCAAATGGGTATATCTTTCCTTTTCTCCTTTGCTTTTTGCTTCTCTTCACAGCTATTTGTAAGGCCTCCTCAGACAGTCATTTTGCTTTTTTGCATTTCTTTTTCTTGGGGATGGTCTTGATCCCTGTCTCTTGTACAATGTCACAAACCTTTAGGTGCCAATAAGTGAGTAACATCCAGCTGTTCACATTCAGAAAGTATTATCCTTCCTGTTCCATGCATTTTAAAAGTGCCAAATGCAGGACTGTAGCACGATCTGGCGTTTCCTGCTCTAACCCTTGGACTGCTATTCTTTACAGTTCAGAGATTTGGTTTGCCTCAAGCAAAAGAGAACTATATTGTGATCACGTCTTTAAAATAAACCTACAGGTTTTAAGAACAGATGACAAAGAGTTAAAAAAATGCGTGGATGTCTAGTTTATGTTTAGAAATGACCAGTTATAAAGAGTGATCCTGTATTAAAATGGCATCTCAGGTATCCAATACCACAAGTTTCCAACTTAAAGGTTATATTTCAAAAGTTTATTAGCCAATTTGGTGCTTATAACCTAGACTGTATATTGTCCCACTGAATTTGTAAAAGGAAAATGAAGTATGAGAAACTGTGCTATATTATATTACTTCAGGGACATCAGGACTTAAATAAGGTTTTATGTCTAGTCTGGGGACCCAACCGCAATTTCAAATACATGATGGGAGAAAGTATTCCATTTCCAACTACAGATTCCAAGAACCCATCTTTTAGCCATGGCAGAGACTGGCATGTTGCATATGTCAGCGTTTCTGTGTATGTCATGGGGTATATGTAGATGTTTCAGTATGCAGAACTCTGATTCATGAAGTGCAGTATTTTCAAATAATTATCCTGCTTTTCAACAGTAAAGTATTATGCAACTCTTAAAGAAATAAACAAATATTAATGGAACACAAAGACACATGTATGTGATTTAAAAGAAGCACCTAAGTACATGGGGAAGCAAAAAAGACTTCCCTCTTTCATGCTATACATATTATCTTCATCGTAACAGAAATCTCTAATAAGAACAACCAGAGTTATTATAGCACCTCCTATCTGTTCACACTATGTTAAGCACTATACACTTACCACCTTATTAATCTCATTCAATCTGCTCAATTCTACGTAGTAGGTACTATGATTATTATTATCATATTTTTTGGCTATGCCATGCAGCATGCGGGATCTTAAACTAGGGAGTCCTAACTACAGGACCACCAGGGAAGTCCCTGTTTATGTCCCTATTTAGGGTGAGGAAATTGAAGCTTAGAGAGATTAAGCAACTTGAACACAGCTAGTAAGTAGCAGGGCCAAGAATGTAATGCAGATCTGGCTGAATCCAACTCCATGTTTCCCATCACCACTACCTTTCTTTTCCCCCAGCACTTTGATATTTCCACCTACTTATGTGCTTAGGCAGGTAATAGGAATTAATTACAAGAAAAAGAGGCAACATTACTAGTGAACACACTAAATAGCTGGAGAGGGTCTATCAAGTTTTTTTCCCTTTAAAATATTATTTATTTTTTGTTGTGGCAAAGTATATATATCATAAGACTTACCATTTAAGTGTATAGTTGAGTAGCATTAAGCAAATTCCTATTATTGTGTACCACTTTTTAAAAAAGCCCAGAAAACAAAACACTACTCCCTGAAAAATATCAAAAGAAAAAAAGAGCAGAATATTTTTGTCATCTTGTGCTGGGGAAGGTCTTTTGAAGTCAGACATCAAGGCCAGATATCATGATGAAATTGACAACATGGAAATCAAATTAAGTAACTAACACTGGAATCTAAGTTAGGACTGATGACAAATGAAAAAAATATACATCACACACATGACAGATATAGGAATAATATCCTTAATCAAGTAATAACACTGCTTACATAACAAAAAAAAAAATGTATTCCCAAAGAGAAAGGTTTAAGCAATCTACAAATAGATAATATATAAAAAGATACTCAACCTATGAATTAAGTAGTATATATCTGAACTCTACTCAATACTCTTGTAATGACCTATATGGGAAAAGAATCTAAAAAAGGAGTGGATATAAGTATACATACAACTGATTCACTTTGCTATACAGAAGAAAGTAATGCAACACTGTAAATCAACTGTACTCTAATGAAAGTTTTTTTTAAATGTACATTTGAAATGATGAGAAATAACTTTTTACTATAGAAGTTTTAAGAATTGATAATGCCTATTGTGAGTGACAGTATGGAGAGACGGGCACCTTGATTCACTCTTGGAAAGGTGGCAAACTGCAAACCAGGATGCTTTTTCTACCTGCATAAAAGTGCATTTTATGTGCACTTTTCCTCTTGGCATTTTTCTAAGGAAATAACAGGACAATACCAAGGATATATAATCATGGATACTTGCTGCAACTTTTTTTAGTAATGGTAAAAAGCCTGAATGTAAATAAATAACAAATAGTAAATGACAGTAAATTAATAATAAATGTGATTTAACAGTAAATAACATTTATTTAGAGAACTAAACATTCATCAGTAGAGAACTATAAATTATGAATAGGGAATAAATTATGCTAGTCATACAATGGATACTGTGTTGCTATTGAAATGGTTGAATTAGATCTCTGTATCAACATTGAAGTAAATGTCCTATACACTTAGCGGAAAAAAGCAATCTATAGAAAAATATGTATAAATATCATCCCACGAAAGAAATATATGTATATATTCATCTACAGTTTCTTTCTTACCTTCTTAACAGTGGCTATCTTTAGGTATGTGGAGTTTATTGAAGTCTTTTCACTGTTTATACTTACTAATTATCTGGATTTTTTTTTTCAAAAAACATTTACAAATTAGCAAAAGAGTGAAAAAAACTTTTTTTAAAGACAACATCTTGTTTCAGCCCATCAACTAGAGATTTAAACAGCTTATCCAGGGCATTTTACAAGATCTATTTTGTATAAGATTGTGTAAAGAAGACCTGTCCTAGTTAGCGAAGACTTAGGATATTAAGTAAAAGAACTGGGCTTGCAGAAAGAGCTTTAATCAGTGCTGACCTCTCTCTCTCCAATAGCCTCTCTTCTTCCTCTTGTTCTTCAGTAAAAGCACCTGCCACTGATTCCTCTTCCTCCTCCTCCTGTGAGAGTCCTGAAGGAATGTAAATGTTTTAGGATACTATCCGTACATTACAAAGCCTTGGTCAATAATTCAGGAAAAAAATTATATAAATTTTTTATCTTTACAATTATGGTACAAACCTCTTTTTAAAACTTTCTAACAATAAAGGGCCCCAACCGCCCAAATTGGAACAATGTGAACACTGAAAAGAACAATAATGGTAGTAGATTAACACATTAAACTGATACCCCCTAAAATGGTGAGATATGGGAGGAAACATCCATCTTTATAGAAGAATGGCAACTGAAAAATGTAGAAAGACTTAAGCAGAATAGTCCTCAGTGCTGTACCCCACTGTAGGAACTAACTGTTGGGAAGAGGATATTTATTTACACTATCTCAGAATACCAGCCTACAGATGAATACTAATTACAAAGGGGGAAATATCTATTACAGTGGAGCCATCTGATTGGCAACACTTTGACCACACTTCGCATCACTAGGAGTGGAACAACTTGACATGAGAGGCCCCCAGATGTATGCAATGAGAGCTATACAGCATCAACTGTGTAGTATTTTGCCACAGAGTGTACCTGAGGCTACTCAGAAGACGTACTAATCTAGAATGCAGGGCATTCTACAAAACAACTGGCTTGAGTGTTTCAAAATAACCAAACTTGAACTGGGAAAGTTTACATATGGTCTGTGTATATCATATTGCTGAATTACTACTCCTTTATTTGTTTAGTATCGTGGCCTTATTTTTAAGAGATGCAGGCTTAAGTATTTAGGGGTGAGGGCTATGTATATGTACCTGACATGCAAAGGGTTCAGAAAAAATTTGTACATGTGTCTATCTATCTATATACAGGGAAAGTAAGGCAAAATGTTAACAACTGACAAACCTAGGCAAAGGGTTCATGGATGTCTACTGTACATCATGGATGTCTACTGTACATTTTGACTTTCTGTACATTGGAACATTTTCAAAATAAAAACATGGGAAAATAAGTCCTAATATAATTAAAATCTATATCCTCTTCTACTCAAAATTTAAATTTGTGGGGAGAAAAAAAAAGGAGGAAAACTGCAGTGATCTTACGGAACTATAACAGAAGATCTCAGGCTAAATGGAAAAACATACTGTCTGTCACATACATTAAGTATTTAAAAAGTGAAAAGTGTTAGTCACTCAGTTGTGTCCAACTCTTTTTGATCCCATGGACTGTAGCCCAACAGGCTCCTCTGTCCATGGAATTCTCCAAGCAAGAATACTGAAGTGGGTAGCCATTCTCTTCTCAAAGGGATCTTCCCGACTCAGGGATCGAACCTGGGTCTCCCACACTGCAGGCAGATTCTTTACTGTCTGAGCCACCTGGGAGGCCCATATTAAGTATAGGTCTAACCAAAGGCTCACCGAGTCCTAGATAACTACAGTACTGAACCACTGTATGATGCGGTGGTTCCAGGCACTGGCCCTCCATGCAGTTGAAAATCCATGTCTAACTTTAAAGTCAGCCCTCCACATTCACAGTTCTTCCATATCTGCAGTTCTGCATCCTTGGATTCACCCAACTGCAGACCATGTAGTACAATAGTATTTACTGCTGAAGAAAATCCACATATAAGTGAACGTGCACAGTTCAAAACCCATGCTGTTTAAGGGGCAAGAGTGTATCTAACTGTATTAGACATGTAACTATATATGGAATCATTCTACAGTTTTCCAGCTTCCTTTTTTCCTTCATGTTACCTTAATTTCTGGTAATGCCGCTTATTTCAGGTTATTTCAAGTTGAATTGGATGCTAAAGAAGCTACCTGTAATAGAAAGGTTGATAATCCAGAAATTTCTACCAATCACTTGACAATTCACTCTAGAGCAATTCTTACAGAATATTTCTATATTCTAGTCTTCTGGGTAATGTCTGGACATTCAAGTGTGCTACAACGCACAGCAGTGTTCGGTTGACCACAGTATTCATGAAGCACCACTAAGTAAAAAATTGTGAGTTCGAGTAGGCCAAAGCAGGAGCAGTCATCCAGAGGCAAGTGCTTCATTGTGGCTCTGCCATTAACCATATATAATCATGAGCAGACCAGTAAGCTGCATCCTTCAACTGACTATAAACTGCCAAAGGACACATCCACTTGCCTATTCATAGAGACTTACTCCAAATGCGCTTTACAGAGTTAAAAGGGAATAAAAAATATCAATGCAATACATTGGAATTGAAGTATGTAAAGAAAAAGAGAAAGACTTTTTAAAAGTTGGGGCATGTTACAAGAAAACAGGTTAGCATAGTAAGGAAACTGAGAACTTTAAGGAGGGTGGGGAATTACTAAGGGCATCAATAATGCCAATCTACCCTGTTTCTCCTTTTATCCCTGATGCTTTATCCTGTCTCAAGTGGACCAGTTTTGAATTAAAAAAGAGATAGTAATACAGGCTGCAGGGCAATGCACTGTTCCTTTCACTCTAAATATGCCAAGTATTGCTACTCAAGCAGTTTCTGGGCAACTCTAATGATAAATAAAACCTCTATGGCTATTTTTCTCAAGGCCCAAAAATCCTGGTTCCTTGAAGCCATGGTCTGTGGACTTCAAGAACTGTCCAGGATAATTTACTAGGCATATTCTGGTTAATGTACATGACAACCATTATAACTCAGTACTCCTGTGCTATTTTAGTGCTTCCATGTGCATTTATTACTACTATATAACTTTACAACTAAGGTCATTAAACAGGTAGGTTTAATAAACAGACATTAGATTCTGCCATGTGAGGGCCAAATGACACCACCACCAGTACAGATGAAGGTTCCCACAGTATTTTAATAGGAAGAAAAAGTGATAAATAACCACATGGCAATAGTAGTAGTAGCATTCCAAACTCCACTCAGTACCATGTTAACGTCCTGAGCATCTGTTTCTCATCATCCCTGCTGCTGCTGCTGCTAAGTCACTTCAGTCGTGTCCGACTCTGTGCGACCCCATAGACGGCAGCCAACCAGTCTCCCCTGTCCCTGGGATTCTCCAGGCAAGAACACTGGAGTGGGTTGCCATTTCCTTCTCCAATGCATGAAATTGAAAAGTGAAAGTGAAGTCGCTCAGTCGTGTCCGACTCTTCAAGACCCCATGGACTGCAGCCTACCAGGCTCCTCCATCCATGGGATTTTCCAGGCAAGAGTACTGGAGTGGGGTGCCATTGCCTTCTCCGCCCATCATCCCTAACATTGCATAAATGTAGATATAGGGACGTCTCTGGTGGTCAAGTGGTTAAGACTCCGCATTTCCACTGCAGGGGACATGGGGTCCATCCCTGGTGCGGGAACTAACACCCCACATGCCACGCAGTGTGGCCAAACCAAAAACCAAGTTTCATAATTAATTTCATCTGTTTGTATTTAAATAAGATTAACAAGGGGGCTCTCAGGTTAGTGTAGTTTGAGAAAAACTTGCAAAATGTCTAAACCCCTCGAATCCTGCTGGTTTTACAAAGAAAAATATTCACCGAATACTTACTATGGGCAAGGGCTGTGCTAGCTGCTGTAATTCATGATGCCTGCACCTGTAATATTAGATACTTTATAAATACTTCCACGTAATCAGTGGGTGATGATTCACCACGACTTCTTCCCCCTCTTGGGTACTTTTACCATTGCTTCTGATATGGGTCTAACAACTTTTTGAAGGGTCATGGCCACAAGCAACTGTGTATCTGATAACAGTACTTGGACGAGAGTCGCGGGAGCAATTTCATACACAGAAAACAAGATAAGTAAGTCCATTACCAGAGTCTCTCAGTCGAGCGAGTTCCTGTCGCCGTTTCTTTCGTTTCTCCTTCTTCAGGGCGGCCCTGTACTTTTTGTGGCTGGAAAAACAAGACACACACTCCAGCGTTAGCGACCGCAACTGCAGCACTGCCTGAGCTCCCTTCTCCGCGCCCAGTGATAGAACTCCAACAGTGAAATCTTGCTTCCCGCGTTTTAATTACAGAACATGCCTTTACCACCGCCTCGCCATCCCATGCGCACAAGACAGGTCTTCTCCGTCCTCCTCTGCTCCCCTTCTCGCCTCCCTGAGCCCGCAGATGCCCACTAGTAATTCAGGCGCGCCCAGGGAAAGGATAGAGCTGCCGCGGTGGCTCGTCTGCTTGGCCCAGCTCCCCCTTTACTTCATGCTTGCACATCTTCCATGCCCAGCCTCTGTCTGCTCCGTCCCCTTTTCTCGTCAGCTCATCTTGCCTAACCCAGCTCACCTCAGCTTCTCCGAAAACAGCATATTCTCGGGCTCCGCCATCTTGCCAGCGCCGCCACGCCCACAGGAACCGGCCGGAAAAGGCGGGCTTGAGGACGTGCGCAGGCGCAGTTGCTGCGCGGCTTCTCGGGCGGGCGTGGAGTGGAGCGTTTCTCTGCTCCGACTGACCAAAGACTAAAGGCCGGGGTAGGTGGCTCGTGTTCCCAAAGTCTGCACAACTAAATGTCTCCTTCCCGAAAAATCCTCTGGGGCACCTACCCCGCCCTGCAAGTAATTCTTCTCTCCTAGCGCTTCCCCAGTGCGTTATCATTACCTCTCCCCAACTCATTGTGAGGTGTTTTGTGGCCAAGAAGTTAGTCACACCTCTCCTTTTCTCGTCATCCATTCACGAAGCCTCATCCTAAACAACGCGGCTAGCCTTCCTTTCCAGTCCGAGGCTGTGCCTCCATTCGTGGTTTCACTTATCGTCGCCTCAGACAGCCCTCCAGTCCTCCCCCTTCCACTGACACCTGCCGGCTCTAGAGGCTACAGAGGTGCAACCTCTGCTGCCAAGGAATTTCCAACCTAGAGACAGAGAAGGACCAATTCACAAATAAGATTATATGATATAGGCAACTCAGTTTACATTACATAGGCCACTTGGGAATTCAAGGAGAGCTTTCTAATGCCCGAGTTGTTTTGAAGGCAGTTAGGCTAACCCACCTGCCAATGCAGGAAAGAGACGTGGGTTCGATACCTGGGTGGGGAAGATCCCCTGACATAGGAAATGGCAAACCGCTCCAGTATCCTGGAGAATCCCATGTACAGAGGACTCTGGTGGGCCACAGACGATAGGGTAACAAAGCGTCTAACACTACTGAAGCTATTTAGCACCCAGGCACGAAGGGCTATTACTCAGGTGGAGAAGGCTGGGAATGGACTTGCAGGTAAATCAGCACAAGCAAAGGCACTGAGCGATGAAACAACGTGGAATCTGCCAGAACCGCGAGAATTTTGGCCATCGAGTATAAAGGGCAATATGAGAGTATCAAGGAATACAGCAATAGAGGTGGCTGGTGCTAGGTTATGGGGAAGGGCCATTCCCAAAAGCTTTAATTATGCTCTTTAGGGAATAGGGAACCGTTGAAAGTTGAGTGTAGGTTTTTGTGATCGTATTTGTGTTTAGGTAAGTGACTGGTTTGCAGTATAAAGGATACAGCCAGAATAAAGCAATCTAGGTGAGAGGTAACAAAGAATTAAACTGGGGCAACAAGAGTAAGAGATTGAGAAAGCAAAATCAATCCTGCTAATAATTAGACTGTGGTTTACACACATAAGACCAAGAAAAAACCTTTCTCCCAAGGACACGTTGCAATTGCAAAAGGATTAACAACCCCCTTCTTTTATTTTATTTTATTTATTTATTTATTTATTTATTAGTTGGAGGCTAATTACTTTACATCATTACAGTAGTTTTTGTCATACATTGAAATGAATTAGCCATGGATTTACATGTATTCCCCATCCCGGTCCCCCCTCCCACCTCCCTCTCCACCCGATCCCTCTGGGTCTTCCCAGTGCACCAGGCCCCAGCACTTGTCTCATGCACCCAACCTGGGCTGGTGATCTGTTTCACCCTAGATAATGTACATGTTTTAATGCTGTTCTCTTGAAACATCCCACCCTCGCCTTCTCCCAGAGTCCACAAGTCTGTTCTATACATCTGAGTCTCTTTCTGTTTTGCATATAGGGTTATCGTTACCATCTTTCTAAATTCCATATATGTGTGTTAGTATACTGTAATGGTCTTTATCTTTCTGGCTTACTTCGTTCTGTATAATGGGCTCCAGTTTAATCCATCTCATTAGAACTGATTCAAATGAATTCTTTTTAATGGCTGAGTAATATTCCATGGTGTACATGTACCACAGCTTCCTCATCCATTCGTCTGCTGATGGGCATCTAGGTTGCTTCCATGTCCTGGCTATTATAAATGACCCCCTTCTTTTAATAATTGCATAACTTCCTTCCTGGCTTGTCTTTGTTTCTCTCTCATCCAAGTCAGAATTACTGAGATACCCAATTACTAAGCTGCCTGTTTCCTTAGTCCCTCCCTGAAATCATTCAGAAGAAGCCCAAACTCTTCATAAACTCTGCCTTACTCTTTCTTACAAAGACACTTGCAGTAACAAGTCTCCAAGGTGACCTTGTTCAGCTCAGTAATTAGGAACATAGACTTTGGAGTTGGATGGACTGGGAAACTCAAGCCTTGACTGTCTGATCTTTTTTTTTTTGGCTGAGTCCTAACCAGTAGACTCCCAGGGAACTCCCAGTTCCTAATGTTTAGTCCTCAGTTTTCTCATCTGTAAAAATCAGGGAAATGCTATATGTTGGCATAGTGCCTGGCGATAATTAGTGTCCCAAAAACATTAGTTGTTATTAACAGCAGCAGTAGCTTGAAAACTTCCCAACACCCTCAAGAGTGGATTAAATACTTGTCCTATGGGTGCTCCTTGCACAAATATTTCACCTTTTATAACACCTATCACACTATTTTGTACATTGTTGCTTCCATAAGACTTCATCTGCACTATGTCTTAAACTTCTTGAAGGTGCAGATTTGGCAGTTAAAGCCTCTAACTAGAAAATTCCTTGGATGGCACAAAATATAACTGTGCAGATCTCCAATTTTGCTGGTTTCTGTGACCAAGAATTATGCTGAGAATTGTCATTCTGAAAACATCAGTGTTTGGGTTGCTGTAACATTTCTTATGAATCAGACCAGACTCTCATGTCAGAATAATTAAAGATGTCTTCTAGGAAGATACTCCTAATTTAAAAGGATACAGATTTAGATTTTATTCTATTATGATTTAGAAGTGAATGTAAATCTTCATTTATAGGAGTTAGATATTTATCATCAACAATTAACTGCTGAATTCATTTTCATGAATAAATTTAAATTGCTCAATTAATTTCATTACAGAAGTTACTCTAAAAGCCAGTTTCATTTCCAAACTATAGTTCCCATCATTTGATAAATCATAAGATAAAAATAAGATATGTAAAAATGTAATGCAAAGATATAGCCTACTATGATATTCTGATAAATAAAACAAATTTATATTTATTCTGCAATGTAACATGTATTTTCTATTTTTCTTGGTGCCTGAAATACAACTTCTACTTATTCTCAAGTATACCTGTTTTGGTTTATCCCTTCTCTATGGGAAAAAGCCTAAATTTTTGTCTTAAATTGTCAGTAGGAAATAGCTGATTATTCTTAAAAAGTTAAAGAAAATATTTTACTTTATATTTAAAGTATTTCACATTTATAGATACATAAATGATGTAATAGATAATGCTGTTACAAAGAATGCTATTATTAAATGAGTCTTAATTATTATAAAATGACAAAAGAATGATCCATAATTATATTTTTTTTCATTTATAGCAAGCATAAAGGGAGAGCAAGGAAAAAATGTTTACTCTTTGCCAGGTTGGGAGTCTTTCAATTAATTTGGCTTTTTTATTGCTCTTGTAGGACAGTAATACTGGGACTCACTGAATGGTCAATGCAGGAATTCTCATGAAAGAACATTTCTTGCCTACCATTAATTTCATTATTAAATCACCAGATTTATTCAAAGACATACAGTGGAGTCTCAAGTCCTCTTCAGCACTCATTGCTATGCCAAAGGCTTTATATATTTTCCAAATTACAGTTATCACTAAAAATAGCAAGATAAAATATTTATAAATGCACATTAATATAAAAATACTTACAAATCTATATATGTACAGCTGATTAAAAAAGTTTTCTTTGGAGGAAGGAGCTATCTAGTGGTAGTTATTCTTTATTCAGTTCTTTATTCAATCAGTTCTTATTCAGTTATTAGTGAATAAAGTTATTCTTTATTCATTCTTACTGATTCTTTTGTCTAGTGATAAGCTCAGAGCAACACAACAGTTAGAATGGTGGCAGATGGTAACCCCACTTAGAACCCAAACCACAGTACCACTTTTGAAGAGTAGGTTGAATTTGAAAAGCAGGAATCCAAATGTATATAGGGACAAGTGTCTTAGTCTGTTCAGGCTGCCATAATAATATACCACAGACTGGATGGCTTATAAATAACAAGATTTATTTCTTACAGTTCTAGAGGCCAGGAAGTCCAAAATCAAGGTGGTGGCAGATGGCATATTTGGTGTCTGGTGAGTACTTCCTTACTAATTCATAGGCGACCATCTTCTTTCTGTGTCCTCACATGGTGGAAGGGCTGAGAGAGCTCTGTAGGGTCTCTTTTATAAGATCACTAACTCCATCATGAGGGCTCCAACCTCATGACCTAGTTATTTCCCAAAGGCTCCACCTTCTGATGGCATCACATTGGGAGTTAGGTTTCCAACATATGAATTTTGAGGGGACACAAACATTCAATTCCTAACAACAAAAATGCAGTACTATTTATAGGTGAAGTAGCCAGTATTGTTAATATGTACTAATTAGATGCCAAAATTGAGCTTATTCACTTAATTGAACTGTATCTATTTTGATCAGTAAAATTTGATATGAAAGAACTTAAAGTTGAATTGAAAAGACAGAATAAAAAAAAAAGGCAGAATAGTTATTCTGTCTTAGTCTACTTAAGAATAACTTATTCTACTTGTTATTATTCTACTTAAGTTACTTATTATACTTAAGAATAACTTATTCTACTTGTTATTATTCTACTTAAGTTACTTATTATACTTAAGAATAACTTATTCTACTTTAATTTATAGAATTATTAATAGAATTCTAATTAATAGAATAGAATTAGAATAATTAGAATTCTATTCTAATTATAATTCTATTCTAAATTCTAATAATAGAATTAATAGAATTCTAATTATTCTAATTAATAGAATAAGAATAACTTATTCTACTTAAGTTATTCAACTTAAGTAGAATAGTTATCAAAAGTTGAGTCTTCTAGTGAATAGAAAAATACCTAAAGTGATTACAGTACTGTGTTTTTGCTAATATTGTGCCAAAAGAATGTGTTCCCCCTGCCCCATCCCCCTACACTGCCACCCCCCACTCT